TCGAGAATAGAAGAAATATCCTATAAATTGACAACTTTGTGTAAAAAAAAAAATACTTTTTCATTTTTTTTCCACATTTTCTAAAAACTTGTGGAAAAAAAGGAGTGACAGAGTGTCAGACATGTTAGGGCCTCAAGAAATGAAATAGGCCATCAGTGCTTCATGTGTGATCAATTTGCAATGATTGGTGCCATAGCTTGTAGACTTTATAACTTTCACACAGACTAAATAATATACACCGATTTGTTTTTTTTTTTACCAAAGGTATGTAGCAGTATAAATTTTTGCCTAAATTTATGAAGAAAAATTACTTATTTGCAAAATTTTATAATAAAAACAAAGAAAATCTTATTTTTTTTCTAAATTTTCGGTCTTTTTTCGTTTATAGTGCAAAAAATAAAGAACTCAGGGGTGATTAATTACCACCCAAAAGAAAGCTCTATTTGTGGGAAAAAAATGATAAAAATTTCATATGGGTAAAATGTTGCATGACCGTGCAATTGTCATTCAAAGTGCGACAGCACTAAAAGCTGAAAATGGGTCTGGGCAGGAAGCTGTAAAATTGCACGGTATTGAAATGGTTAAAGAACTGAGCTCTGACATTTCAAGGCCATTGTTTCTTATTTTTAGGGACTCTTTAATGACTGGCATAATACCACTGCATTGGTGTAAGGCCAATGTGGTGCCTATATTTAAAAAGGGGTCAAAATCTGTACCAAGTAATTATAGACCTGTTAGTTTAACTTTTATAGTTGGGAAGATACTGGAAAGTTTAATAAAAGACCACATAGATGAGTTCTTGCTGGAAATAACTATTTTAAAGCAACAGAAAGCATGGATCCATGAAAGACAGAAGTTGTCAAACAAATCTAATTTCTTTTTATGAGGTGGTGAGCATAACCTGTGAACGTGGTATACTTGGATTTTGAAAAAACGTTAGACACAGTTCCCCACACATGGCTAATGTGTAAGGTAAAGTCTACGGTCTTGGAAAAATCTGTATGTAAATGGATAGAAAACTGGCTAAAAAAATCAGTAGTGGTTAATGATTCATACTCTGAATGGTCTAGGGTTGTTAGTGGTGTACCTCGACGTTCAGTGTTGGAACCCTTATTGTTTAATAATTTATAAACCATATAGGGTCTGGGATTAAAAATCCCATTTCAGTCTTTGCAGATTACACCAAGCTGTGCAGTGGAATAACGTCCTTACAGGATGTCTCCAATTTACAAGCTGATCTCAATGCTCTGTTTAATTGGGCAACTATGTGGCAAATGAGATTTAATGTTGATAAATGTAAGGGTATGTACTTGGGGGCTAAGAATATGCATGCATCATACATACTGGGGGGGGGGGGGGGTACAACTGAGGGAATCAATGGTGGAGAAGGATCTGGGAGATCTGGTAGATCATAAGCCTTAATAATGGAATGCAATGCCAAGCTGCAGTTCCTAAAGCGAGCAAAATCCTCTCTTGTATTAACCACTTCCCGTCTGGCCGCATTACAGGAGTGGGTGGCCATTTACAAACGTTCTCCCCACTTCCCTGCCTGTGACAGCATTGCTTACTACTAGTGGAATCTGTCACAGCCTTTGTACCATGTGACAAGCTGTGACCAATCACAGCTCTCACAGTATTTCTCAATGGTTGCAAGAATGCAGCCAGAGAGAAGGAAAAATTATCGCTTTACAGCCTTTATGGGTGTAAAAGCAATCAGTGTAAAAAAAAAAAAAAAATCTTCATCAGCCCCCACAAGTAATACAGTGTCACTATGGTAACACTCTATTGCTAGGGTGCAAGTGTGTTAAACAAAACAAAAAAAACATAAATAATAATATAAAAAAAATAAAATAAAAATGTAAAATTTAGAAACATTTAAATTTTTTTGTTTATAAACTAATTTGGGTTATTTTTTTTACTAAAAAGATAACTGAATAAATTTTGACCAAGATTTATAAAGAAAAAATATTTATTTGCAAAATTTTATATGAAAAACACTTTTTTTTCAAAATTTTTGGACATTTCATTTATATAGCAAAAAAATAAAAATCTCAGTGGTGAATAAATACTACCAAAATAAAGTTTTATGTCTCAAAAAATGCTAAAAAATTTATATGGGTACAGTGTTGCATGACTGCGCAATTTTCATTCAAAGAATAATAGCACTGAAAGCTGAAAACTGGCCTGGGCAGGAAGGGGGTAAAGTGTACGGACTTGAAGTGGTTAAAAGAGGTATAGACTCCAGACAGAAATATCATTTTACACTGGTACAAATCATTAGTAGTACCTCATCTGGAATATGCAGTTCAATTTTGGGGCACCAATTCACAAAAAGAACATTGGGGAACTGGAGACGGTACAGAGAACGGCAACCAAACTGATAAGAGGCATGGAGGACCTCAGCTATGTGGAAAGATTAGAGGAACTGAATTTATTCTCTTTTGAGAAGAGGAGATTAAGGGGGGATATGATCAACATGTATAAATACATCAGTGGTTCATACAGTGAACTCGGTGTAGAGTTATTCACCTTGAGGTCATCACAGAGGACAAGGGGCACTATTTATGTCTGGAGGAAAAGAAATGTAATCTCCAAATACGGAAAGGTTTCTTCACAGTTAGAGCTGTGATAATGTCAAATAGACTCCCTCAAGAGTTGGTTCTGGCCAGCATAGTGGATTGCTTTAAAAAAGGCCTGGATTCTTTCTTAGATACACAGAATATAACTGGATACTTACATTTACAGGTAAAATTGATCCAAGGAATATCTGATTGCCTCTTGAGGGATCAGGAAGAATTTTTTTCCCCTGCAGGAGTAAATTGGATCATGCTTTACTGGGTTTTTTGCCTTCCTCTGGATCAACTGTGGATGTGGGGTTCTACATCTTTTTTTTTTTTATATGGTTGAACTGGATAGACTTTTGTCTTTTTTTCAGCCAGACTATGTAACTATATAGCAGCAAGTAGTTTTAGGAGTGAGTCAAGTCCCTTTAGCTGCAGTAGTAACAGGGTTGAGCTCATCAGATACAGGCCCGTTACAGCAGACTGTGACAGTCTAGAAGTAATAGCAACTGAGCAAAGTCCTTTGCAGTAGCATCAATTGGACAAGCTCTTCAGAACACTAGCCAGTGTTCCCTTTTCTCAGACCCATGCTGACTATCAAGCACCAAACGGGTAGCAAATCACAAAGAGTCCCCAAGATCTCTGTGTCTGTACTCACAAGTCCAAGGACAGAATGCTTGCCTCCTTCCACTCTTCCAAATGAATCTCTCCAGTGGTACTGTCAGGGCTCCGGGAATGACCAGAGGTGTGTGGACCGACACAGGGAAACACACAGACTTCAGGTATATTGTGTAAACAAGATAATTTATTAAGGACAACACAAACATAAACACAGTGCAACAAACCAAACCCAAAGCTAACACAAATACATACAACAAGGTGAAACAAGCCCAAACCTAAACTGATATATGAATATATATATGGAGCATAACGTAGTCAGGTGGGCCGGGTCGGTAGCTAACGGGCAGACAAGGTACAAGGAGTAGGCAGAAGATTGGTCAGGAGTAGCTGAGGTCGGTGCAGGCAGAGTTCAAGCAGAGTCAGGATCAAGCAGAGTCAGGATAAGGCAGGAAGCAGACAGGGTACGCCAAGGCACTGACTGCAGGCATGGCCATTCCTTAAATACACCTCCTGCAATCACCCTCAGGTGATGCTTTGATTGCAGGAGTGAGCTTCTGGCTGCTGAGAGCACCCGCTGGCCAGCCCTGGTACTGCAGCCCACACGGCAGGTGAGTCCCACCACCAGTGGTGAATCCATTCCTGACAGTACCTCCCCCTCAAGGAGTGGCCTCAGGACGCTCCAAACAGTCCTTAGTGAGCAAAATGTTCCACCGCCCGGGTCAGGTAACTGGCTGAATATCCTACTGTCGGAGTCAACTGGCTGGCTGGTTCTCTTTGTGTAGGAGAACCCAGGAAGGCAGGTTACTGGACACAGGATCTCCAGGAGCAGGCTGGGAACCAGTTATTGGCCAGTTTAGCTGGACATCAGGGGCTGGCACATCAGGCTGGGCAGCGGACAGAGGCACATCAGGCTGGGCAGCGGACAGAGGCACATCAGGCTGGGCAGCGGACAGAGGCACATCAGGCTGGGCAGCAGGCACTGGAACATCAGGCTTGGCAGCAGGCACCGGAACATCAGGCTGGGCAGCAGGCACCGGAACATCAGGCTGGGCAGCAGGCACCGGAACATCAGGCTGGGCAGCAGGCACCAGAACATCAGGCTGGGCAGTGGGCACCGGAACATCAGGCTGGGCAGCGGGCACTGGGACATTAGGCTGGGCAGCGGGCACCAGGCCATCGGGCGGAGCAGCGGGCACCGGGCCATTGGGCGGAGCAGCAGGCAGCGGGCCATCAGGCAGAGCAGCGGGCACCGGGCCATCGGGCGGAGCAGTGGGCACCGGCCCATCAGGCGTGGCAGCGGGCACCGGTCCATCAGGCGAGGCAGGGGCACCGCGGCATCAGGCGAGGCAACAGGCACCGAGTCATCTGGCTCAACAGCGGGCACCGAGTCATCTGACATGACAGCGGGCACCAAGTCATCTGGCAGAAAAGTGGGCACCGGGTCACCAAGCTCAACAGTGGGCGCCAAGTCATCTGGCACGACAGCGGGCACCGAGTCATCTGACACGGCAGCGGCACCAAGTGATCTGACATGACAGCGGGCACCGAGTCATCTGGCAGAACCGCGGGCACCGGGTCACCAAGCTCGACAGCGGGCACCGAGTCATCTGGCACGACAGCGGGCACCAAGTCATCTGGCACGACAGCGGGCACTGAGTAACCAAGCTTGACAGCGGGCACCGAGTCATATGGCACGACAGCGGGCACTGAGCCATCTGGAACTACAGAGGGCACCAAGCCATCTGGCACGACAGCGGGCACCGAGCCATCTAGCAGAACAGTGAGCACCGAGTTACAAAGCTCGACAGCGGGCACTGAGTCATCTGGCACGGCAGCGGGAACCGAGTCATCTGGCAGAACAGCGAGCACCGAGTCACCAAGCTCGACAGCGGGCACTGAGTCATCTGGCATGACAGCGGGCACTGGGTCACCAAGCTCGACAGCGGGCACGAGTCATCTGGCATGACCGCGGGCGCTGGGGCGTCTGGCTGGACTGCGAGCACCGGGGCGTCAGGCTGGATCGGGTCATCTGGTTGGATCGGGTCATCAGGCCGGGTAGGATCATCAGGCGGGTAGGATCATCAGGCTGGGTAGCGTACACTGGGTCATCAGGCATCTGGGCATCAGGCTGAACAGTGGGCACCGGGGCACCAGGCTGGATAACAGAAGGCGGCTTCTCAGACCGCAGGCTGACCGGTTTGGATACTGGCAGGATGGTGCTGGTTGGAAAGAATTTCCACTTCTTCCTGGTTTTAGTTACTGGAGCACTGTAAGTAAACTCAGGCCTGTAAACGGAGGGAGCAGCTTCTACAGAGGACTTCTTTACAGGGTTAAAGGCAGGATAGGTGCAGCATGTGGGAACAGGGGACTGACATGTGGTAGATAGCAGGGTATACTGGGCTGTCACTGGGGGTGCTGTGGGAACTGGAGGAAGAGAGCTTTGAGCAGAGGAATGGTTAGAAGCAGGACTAGGTTGTTGCAAGGTGTCTGAGGCTGGATGTAACAAATCTGACCATGTCTACAGTACTGGTTGAACAAAGCTCAACTTACACAAAGCCTGTCTGACCAAAGACTGCACTGCGTTTATACAATCCATTAGCACCTGTTGTGAACATGCTGAATAATGCTCCAAGAAGCAATCCACATCATCCTCCAATAACCATACCAGTGACTCTACTTGGCCTGTACTAAATGATGGCAAAAAGTCATCCCTGCTTTCCGGGGTACCAGATGAAGCCAACTCTGCACAAACCTGAATCAATGGTTGCACCTCAGAGAACTCCGTGCCCTGATCTACTTGGAAATGAGCGATCCGTATGCATTCTAGCAGTTGATCCCTAGCATACTCCTTCAGAGTCTGATAGGCATAATCTCTGTCATCTAGGACTAGCAGCGACAAATACACAACATCCTCAGGGTGCATCCTTCACAACAATAAGACAAGATGGCTTCCCTGTGCAGCCACTTCTGGTCAGGACTGGCCTTGGTGTAATGTCAGGGCTCCAGGAATGACCAGAGGTGTGTGGACCGACACAGGGAAACACAGACTTCAGGTATAGCGCGTAAACAAGATAATTTATTAAGGACAACACAAACATAAACGCAGTGCAACAAACCAAACCCAAAGCTAACACAAATACATACAAAAAGGTGAAACAAACCCAAACTTAAACTGATATATGTATATATACATGGAGCACAACGTAGTCAGGCGGGCCGGGTCGGTAGCTAACGGGCAGACAAGGTACAAGGAGTAGGCAGAAGATTGGTCAGGAGTAGCTGAGGTCGGTGCAGGCAGAGTTCAAGCAGAGTCAGGATCAAGCAGAGTCAGGATAAGGCAGGAAGCAGACAGGGTACAGGGGCTCATGGAAACAATACACCAAGACACTGACTGCAGGCCTGGCCATTCCTTAAATACACCTCCTGCAATCACCCTCAGGTGATGGCTTGATTGCAGGAGTGAGCTTCTGGCTGCTGAGAGCACCCTCTGGCCAGCCCTTGTACTGCAGCCCACACGGCAGGTGAGTCCCACCACCAGTGGTGAATCCATTCCTGACAGGTACTAGCCAGATGTTTGGTAGACAGCATCCCTCAGTCAGCTCACTGCCAGGGTCACTCTCTCTTACTTCAGGCCCTCAGGTCAACCCACCCGAGGCCACATGGCAGCCTGCCTCCAGCCTGACTAGGTGCAATTCAGTCCTGGGAAAGACACTGAACCCATGTGCTCCCCAAACATAAATGCCACTCCCAGCATGAAATGGGGCCAGGACTGTATTCATATTCATGCTGTTCATTTGCCTAGTCCCTACCCATGTTCTGGAAGGCTTTCATAGCTTCCTGAAGGTGGGCAGAACTCAGACAAACTCCAACAACACCAGAACATTATGAGCAGATCTGAATAAAGATCTGAATAAACAATCAAAGCACTCTGTTAAGCAGAATTCCACACTGAAGTTACCTGACAGCCTCTCTGGTAAGCAGAGAAACACAACTATGCTTAACCTAACTATACAAATCCTAGCACCTGACTAGGAGGGTCCTACATTTATCATTGTATTGACTTTGTATAGTTGTAGAAAAGGAATTTTGTATTTATGCAGTAAGTAAGCAAACATGAGGAATACTCAGTGTATGAATGTATTTGTTTGAACACTTGTAGAATTACCTCTGCTGCACTCCCTATGGATACACATTGGTGAAACGCATTGAGTCACCCTTAGACCCACTGAACTGGCCACAGCAATCACACTGAGGTAGTTGGTTATACAAAATATTTGTTGATAGAAGAATTAATTAAGAATAAATATAAAATGGGTCAATGGATAGTAGAGGTTAAACTTAAGGAGGTTTTAATTCAAGAGAGATAATTTGTGTCAAAACATACCTTCTGTTATTAGAGAAATGTATGTTTTTAAAATATTGTGGTAACAAATAAATATAAGGTTTTATTCATATCAATTGATGTTGTGTGGTGCCTTAGTGTCAGTATGATTATTTTTGAAGGTGTTACCTTGGTTAGTCACCAATATAATTTAATACAAATTTAAAAAAGAAATTAAAAATAGTTAAAGGCTTCCTAATCCCTCGGGAACCGTAAAAAGTCATTTGCACATTTTAGAGAACCCAATAAATACCTCAGTTTAGCCAACCCTATTGACTACATTGTATTTTTTTTTCCCAATCTCTATTGATCTTCCACTTAGTTTTTTTCCCTGTGTAGTCTGCCATTCTATCACCTTTCTAAGGAAGTCCTAAAAAACATGATTAGATTGGGAGAAGCTGGCCCAATTTTTGTTCCCATAGCTATAGGCACTTGTTGAAGATTAAAAAAGTAGTATGTATCTGGTCTACTGGCAATACAGCTTGTTGTGTAAGGACTTGTCTGCTGCCAAAAGATGAGGCATCTAGGATGTCCAGGATTAAGCCGTTATGCCACTCAACATTTTTCAGGATGTTCAATTTATGAGTGGAGTCTTTCTATTATGAAGGATTAACTATACTTACTCTGCAAATGTAAATCCACATACTTCAAAAGGTTAATTGTTAAAGGTATTAATATACTGTACATTAGGACAATCTGGAAGGGGGGAGTTAAAGGTTACTATTTAGCAACATTTGACATAAGTTGCTGGGATCTGATGACAAAAAAGTCATAAGTAACATTCTTAACACCTTGCTTCATTAAAATAATATGTATTAAGTAAACCTATCCCCCTCTTCCTTTGTCTTCTGGCCAGGTTATCAATACCTGATCCTGTGTTAGTTTATGTAAACTGCTTAGTGCATGAGGGAATCCTAAGAATACCACCTTCTTTTGCAATTAGTTTTAAATCATTTAAATTATTTAGAATGCCCCCCCTCCACCCTCATTCTATCTGAATATATTTGTGGTGAGCAAGTCTGTCATGGTGAATCAATAAATCAAATGATTACATTTTTTGTTTCCTAAATAAATGCTAATCTATGCAACAGTCATTAAAATCATGAATAACAGAGGGGATTCCTCTGTGACTGTGCAGATGTGCAGGTAGAAAAGTTCTCCAAACAAATTATAGAGTTAAATAAATAATGATGGATTGGTTAGTCTCCTGATTGAGTTATTACTAATCATCATGTTATGTATTCATCAGTTGTAGAAGATAATTCTCTTGTGCAACTTCACCTTTTCTGTAGGTGATTCAACTTACTAGTATCCACCCCTCCACCCATAAGTGAAATATTAGCGTTAGATGGACAGATTTATTAGACTGACAAAATACTTCTTTCATTAATCAACATTTAAAATGTATGTGTTCTAGATTGATTCAGTGCACTACACTATTTGCCTGCACTGTCTTTTTGCCTACTGTGGACTTTTAGTGTGTTTTCCACAGACAAACAAAAGAAAGAAATACTATATACGGCATACACTCAATAAAGTCCAGTAGAGTAAAAGACTAAAGAAATTCTTCACTGGCCTATAAGTAGGACGGCAGAAAGTTAATTATAATTGTCCTAAATTCCATTATAATTTTCCAACGCAAATTGATTTTTGAAGCAGCTGCAACTTATCATATTTTCATTGCTTTTCTTGTCATCTGAAATTTCTATGATGAGTGCAGTTAGTCTACATGTAATTGTCCAACTGTTATCTTAAAACTGTATTTCATGTAGAAATCGTTCTTGTGAGGTACTTTTGAAAATGTATCCACTTTTTTTTTAAGTTAACCCTCAATATGATTAAATGATGCAGTTCAATTTGATTTCTTTTTTTAGCACTAATAACCTTTCAAGTCTCAAGGCAAATTTGGAGCAGGAAAGATTGAACTGTGCTTTTTTAAGAGACTTAATTAAATGGAAAATTTCAGGATATGTTGGATAACATTTATCTTTAAAAACTTGTAATTATTTTAATTGCTCTCTGTAGAATAGCAAACATCAAGTAAGTAGGCCAAACCACATGTTAATCATTATTTATACAACTTGGTCCATGTTAGAGCATTGTCAACTGTTCTGACTTCTTGCATGCAAGAACTCTAAACCATAATAAGCTAAATACAGCATTGCTGAGTAAAAACAAATGATTATATGACAAAAATGTACATGCAATTGGGGTGGTGTCCTGTAAAGATTTAGTGTGGACATAGCACAAAAGGATCTATTAAATATTTGGGCTCATTAGAGAATATATAAATGTTGCACGTCCTATACTGCACACTATATAATTATTGCTTAATCTTTTTTTCTGAGCCATTTGGGAAATTACAAGGGTCAATTATTACCCTGAATCTGTAATGGGGTTTTGAAACATAATATGCTGATGAGAAGATGTAAGACAAAATATTACACATCGGAAGCAATTTACTGTGTCAGTGCACACTTTTGCTGTTTCTTTAATGATGATTTTGAGAGATTTATTTACACAATTTTACTCTGGGTATCCAAATTTTTGTAATACAGAGGTGGGACGTGGGATTTAATTGTAACAAAATTCTATTTCCAAATATACACTTATTAAATTAATACTTTATTTAAGTTTTAAACACTTTTGAAAAAGCTAACTGTAGTTATGTTATAATCAAACATATACCTAATTTCTAGGTACAATTTCTAAGTACAATTTTATTTCTGGTTCAGTAGTTTGTAGCAACTATAAAAAATTAAACTGTTCTGTTGTCACATTTATTTCATTTCAACATTCCCTGGTCTACTTTT